GCCTAACTTCATGCATTATGCTTGTGATCAAGGGTGCGATGATGTTCACTTTGAGACAAATTCGGTGATGCTTGTGAACAAATTTTCACGACATTCTGACGATATTTCCACTCACGGGTTCTTTGTGCAAGAAGTTCGCTCAATTCTTATGTCCAAACCTAATTTTCATGTTACGTTTGATCATCGATCTTGCAACGTTGTAGCTCATAAGTTGGCAAGTTGGGCTCTTATGAGCGGTGGTTCTTTGTTCTTTGATTCGATTTGTCCCAACATTATTTCAAGTGATGTTATAAACGATGTACATGTTTCTTGATTAATGATATTTGGGCATTATTTTTTCCTTAATAGGTTTAGAAGGAAATTTTCTTTAATGAGGTCCGCTTATTGTAAAAAAAAATCTCATAAATCCTTAAACTTAAATCCCAAAAATTTCTATAAGCATTAAATCACTAAATATATATACACCCAAATTCTTAATCTCAAAACTCTAAATAAATATATATACACCCAAATTCTTAATCTCAAAACTCATTACCACCGTTGATCGTCAATATCGTCATCGAATGCCCACCCGTATATCATTTGGTCTATACTATTGACCATTCTCTTTTCATCATTCAAATCCCTTAAATCTCTAAACTAAAGTTGAGAATTAGAGTTTTAGAGATTTGAGAAATAAAGTTTTATTGATTTTTGAGATATTTTGTGAAAAGAAAAATTTAGAAGTTTGTTTAAATTTATGAATTTTATTTTTTAAAATTAAAAATTAAAAGAAATTAAAAACGTGACCATCTCTTAAACATTGATTAGTTGAGTAGGTTTTAACAATTTTTTCAATGGTCACAATAGTATTGACCAACTTTAAAAATACTATAGGTCTATTTTAACTCAAAAATCTTTTATATGTTAAAATTTAATCAGAAGTATAATTTAAGGTTTTATTTTTTAATTAATTTTTTTTATAATTCTACTACATCTCTTATTAATTTTAGGTGTTTAAAGTTCGGATTTTTTGTCAAAACAAATGTCTAGCATTTCTAAAATTATTATTTTAAGGTAAATTCTATCACGGTTGTTATTTTTTTCAACCACTCAAAATATGATCAAAATATGATCCGTGTCAAGTTTTATATTTTTTAAATTTATTTAAAAAATTTAAATTTATTATTTTTTTAAAAATCCAAAAATCTCTAAAATTAGAAAACCTCAAAATCTATAACCCCAAAACTCATTACCGTTGTTGATTGTCATCGTCGTCATCACCATTGAATGTCAATTCAATTTTTGCCAGATTACTACCGTCGATCATCCTCTTGTTGTCGCCCTAATCCCTTAAATCCTAAACATAAATCTCTATATCTCCTTAAACCTAAGTCCTTACACTCTCAATACTCAAATCCCTAATTCCCAAAGCATATTACAATCGTTGACCACCACCGACATCGTCGAATATTCGTTGTAAGACCTCTATTATTGATTATCCTTTTTTTCACCCTAATCTCATAAAATCTATGAATCTCCAAGAACCTTAAAGCCATAAATCCATGAATCTCCAAGAACCTTAAAGCCTATTAACACCACTGATCATTAACGTTGTCGTTAAATACCCACCCCTTTCTACAATGTCAACATTCTCTTATTATCATCTAATTCTCTTAAATCTCCAAATCTAAAAAATTAGGGTTTTAGAGATTCCATAACTAAGGTTTTATAAATTTTAAAGTGTTTTGTGAAATTAAAAAAATTTAGAATTTTTTAATTTGTATATTTTATTTTAGAAAACAAAACTTAAAGGAAATTAAAATTTAGTCATGTGTTCGACATAGATTAGTTAAATAAGTTTTAAATATTTTTTTTTTCAATTATCACGATAGAATTGACCAACTTTAAAAATATATATATATATATTTTTTAATTCAAAAAATAAACGGAACTACGGAAGTATAATTTTAGAATTTATTTTTTAATTGAATATTTTTATAGTTATATTACATAAATTTAAAAAAATATTTGATACAATTTTGTTATATTTATGAGATAAATACAAGACAATATATATTAAAATAATTCTTAATCATCTGACATTGAACGTTTATACTCAGATATTCTTGACATATATTATGCTCGAACCCAAGATCTCAAGGAATAACAACAATTCCTTAATCACTGAAATCGTTTCGTTTGTAAAAAAAAAATTTGATACAATTAAAAATAAAAATTTGATATGTTGAATATTTAAACTCCATTGTGTATTGCATAAAGGTGAGCAAAACTCAATTCAACTCGATTAGAAAAAACAATTTTTTCGACTCGACTTGAGAAAACGCGTCTCAATAAGTTGTAATCTCATAGACTCTACTGTACTCAAATTTTTTAAATTGAAGTTGAGTTATAAAATATAACTTGAATTTTTCAAGTAGTAACTTGAAATTTTTAGTATTATTAGATTACTTTTCAAGTTTAAGTCTAGTCCATCGATTGTGTATGATATACATATATATATATATATATCACATATAAAAAATATGAAGAAATATATATCTATTGTATATGGTTTTATAAAAATTAGTTCAAATTAGAATCAAATAGTACCATAAATATAATAAATATTTACAATTAAATTTAGGATAAATTACGTATTTAGTACCTAAATAATTAGTTTTGGTTTGTTTAACTTTTGTTTCATTTTAGTACTCCTACCGTTAAAAATTTTAATTTTTGTTTTATTTTAATATCTCATTCAAAATTTGATGATAAATTTGAAAAAATTAAAAGTTTAGTTACTCAAACCAAATGTAACACCCCAATTTTCCTTCTTGTTGTTGTGCCTTGCTGTTACTGTCACGAAACAATAACCCGAGCGGGCTGCCACCGCCGTCGGCCGTGGTTGTTGCACCATTGCTCGTTCCTCATCAGCCAGCCATGGGGATAATGTCCAGCAGTTCCGTTTCATCCGAATTGACAGTCCCCTTTATTCGAATCAAACTCTGCTGTCAACTTCCGAATTAAACCGGAAAAATTTTAATAGTCATCATAAAATTATTTCTTAAATCTGGAAATTTTGTATTGGGATATGAAATTGATCAATGTAAATTTTGCATGAGTTATCGAATTAGAATCGAATTTATCGCCTCCTCCACTGTTACCGACTTGTTTTGCGTGGACTGACTGCGAGTTTTAATCGATTACTTAGTTTAGATATGATTTTGATATTGAATTATAGTAAATTATTCGTTAGTTATTATGTAGAAACTGATTCCATTTGATCCATTCATAGAGCTGATCGTGAGAATCGTCGATTGTGGTTAAAGTTATTTTGTCAAGGTGTAACTCTATTGAATGATATATTTCGTTTGTGAATTATTTAATTGACTAATAATTTATTTATTAATTGTGAACATAATTGTGATGTGACATTTGTTAACTAACACGTGCTTTAGATAATATTTCTATGTTTTTTTATTATGTCAAATTTCATAAAATGTTTTTGTATTTTTTGAAAGAAGATACATTTTATTAATATATTTACAAAGTACACTACCTCAAAGGTCTCATTAAAAAATCTCCCTAAATCTAAATGGAGTAAAAAGAGTATGCCTTGAGGTAGTAGGAAGCAAAGTACAGTAATAGATAATCATTCAAACATGACAAAATCTCACCCTACAACAGACTATAGACAAAGAAAGCTAGTTATCTATCCGTTGTACCCACTAACCACCCCTAACCTGTGTAAAAAACAGCAGAAATAACTGCTGGAATAACGATCAGAGCAGTTAAAAACAGTACCAAAACAACTAAGAAGCATCAGACCAACGAACAATCGAACATTACAGTAAAACCAACACAAAGCATACATCAAAAGCTCAAACAAAGGCTCAAAGCAACTACTTCGATCGTTACCAACAATCACCAAGAGTAATGGATTCTGGGGTTCGAACGAAATATTGAACAACAGGAATCTGCATCGGCCATAAACAATTCTCCCACAGTCCTATCTGCAGCAAAGCAAGATAGAAAATTTTGTCCACCGAAAAAGACTCACCGTTAAACATTGATTTATTTCATAAAATGTTATATGATGCATGTTGATTTATTTGACTCAAAATTAATGTTATACATTCGGACTTTGAAATTAAGTAAATATTTTATATTTGGATCAGATTAGAATTCAAATAGTTTAGCTACTAAAATATTTGTTAACTAAAAGTTAATAATGAATAAATTGAAAGTTTAGGTACTAAAGCGAACAAAAACTGATAGTTTAAGTACTAAATGTGTAGTTTACCCTTAAATTTATTTGAACAACTCCATTTTTCTTGAATTTTTATAAAATAAAACTTTTCAACTCAAATAACTCAAAATTTTTATTCAACTCGATCAAAAGCTTATCCTAGTCCTGCATAGTCTAGATAAAAAAATGTAACTCCTAAAGTTTAATATAAAAATAAGTGTATAAATTATACATCGAAAAATGTTTTAGTACCTAAAAATTTTTTTCGCTAAAAATAAGTGTCTAATATTTTATCTGTTACACTTTTAGGTGTCTGACGTCAACCACCATTAAAAATCATCGTAAAATGACACGTGTCATATTCTAATAATTTAAGATTTTTTATTTAAAATAAAAAATATATAATTTAAAAAACCTATTTTTTCAAATCTTAGAAAAACCCAAAACATTATGCTGTGTTGTTTTTTAGTATAAAATATTAAAAAAAAATTTAAATATATCAAAACGTGACACGTATTAAAAGTTTTTTTAATGATAATTAATGATTAAATACCTAAAATAATAACGAAAAAAATATTAAATATCTAAAATAATAACGAAAAGAAAAAAAATTATATTCTTTTAACCATTCAAACGTTTTTCGAACTATTTGTCAGTCTTATTTTTATATTAAGCCTATACTAATGACTGTTACAAAAATCTATAGTTTGATTATTGAATCAAACAAACGGATTCCAAGTAAAACGCCGGTGCGATCTCAGCCGGCGCCGGTTCTCTGTGGCTTCCGCCCATTTCCCTTAAATCACCTTCTTTCTTATACTCACATGACTGCTGCTCCCATCCCTTCTGTTTAAACCAAACCCTACGACGCAGGCAATACAGTTAAGCAATCAGGTCTCATTCTTCGGTCTTTGCTTCTCTTTCCCTTCCCTTCCTTTGATTTTTTTACCCCAAATGAATACTTTAATTTCACAGAACTATTCCTTTGTTTCCCTATGTTCGCACACAATGAATTTAGGTTTCTTTTATGTATTTTTAAAAAGAAAGAAAAAAATGGAACCTCAGCTGAATCTGTTGTTTATAGTTTATTCTCTCTAAAAGTTTACTGTAAACGATTGTGATAAGTATTATGTCTTCAATTTGTGCAGGTTCTGCTCCATCTGTTATAGATGAATACACCTAAGTGGTTTCGCTGCCTGTCCAATGTTAAGGAATCCACTTGGAAGATATCCATATTAGGTGCATCATTCCATTATCATGTTTTAAAGAAACATCGTTATGGTATTTTTGACCCAGCAAAGCCTTGCATTCCTCATAGTATTCGAGCTCAAAGGTGTTTCCACCACCAACTTTCGCAGCAGGAATGTTTTGGGCATGGTGGAATGAGTTCTCAAGAAAGTTCGATGTCTGGGAGAAATTTGTTTTCGAGATTAAACCAACCTTGCTCTTTCCAAGGAAATTCTCCTTGGTCGACACAAGGGAGTCCTGCATATTGCAATTATGGAAACATTGCTAACAATGAACCCAATTTAAGTAGAAATTTTCTTGCACAACTTTGGGTTGCAGAAAGAAAAATGACAAAGGACCTTGAAAAAAGAAGAAGAAAATGTAAGCACCTAAACTATGTTGGGGCACAGGAATCATTCGAACATCCTTTTGAAAAATGCTTTCCCGGCAGTAGAGTTAAAGTAGAAGAATCTAGTGATCGGGCTGAACCGGTTTTCAAGCAACAACCAGTTAGTCAATCTATCTCAGGTTTTCTTCGGCCAACTTCACAAGAAGAGGTAAATTCCTTTTTAGTTTTCTTTTCTTTTCATCTTTTTTTTTTGATAGGAATACGATGCTCATTAAAAACCTCCCTCTAAGTAGTCCACTGCCCTAAGGCAAGAACCCTCTAGTGGAAGGAGGAAAAGAGTACATCATTTTATTAATGATAAAACAATTACATAAAATTTAAAAACACTCCTACAAAAATACATAAGACTTGATACACTCCTGCATGACCTCTCCTCAAAGACATACAAACCAACTAAAAGCAGTACAATCAGCCAATTCCCTCCTTCGCTAGCTTGTCCACCTCACAATTACAGCACCTAGGAATCCATATGATAATGAACTGATTTAAAGAAACATTAGACGCAATCTCCTTCACAAAATTTGACAGGTAAATAGGACCTTCATTTCTTGATAGCCTTCATTTCTTTTCATCTTTTTATATTTCATTGGGTGAAGGGAGATCCAAACCTAGTTCTTGGAGCAGGGGGATACGTTCACCTACAGTTGAGACTAATTTTAGATGCTAATTCTGTTATGTTATATTTCTTTTAATGGTTACTCTTTCTTTTTGGAGGTTTTAACACCTATACATTCAAAAAATTAGCTGACAATTGTTGTTTCTGAAATTATTCAGGCTCAAATTGCACCTCTTCTTGCTAGGTCCAATCTGCTAATCACCAGGGATATTGAGTGGGCAAATCTTGTACTTGGTTTTGAGCAGGTAATACCCCCCTCTTACTCTTTATAGCATATATTAGAGCTTTAATTTTGCGATGCATGAGCATCACAATGACGCTTATCATCAAAATCTTTTCTTATGGTGTAATGATCTATGAATTGACATGCTACAACAAATGTTGATCTTTTCCCAATGTTAGTTTTTCTTTGTTCTTACTCTTTGGCAACTAGAAGTTTCTAAAATGCTCGTTAAAAGAAAAATAGGTTTATATTTGTCATGTTACAGTCTATATGGAGTTTACATATTGTGTGGTACTGGTTGATGAGTTTTACATAAATGCGTTTTATTCCTTGGTGAACTTTTATATAATCTTGATGTAGTTTGAAAAACATCTCTCATAAAAACATAGTTTGTAATTTGTAGTTCTAAATGCTGCATGAATGAATTCTTTTGGATATTCCAGCAAACTGATTCAAAAGAAGGGAGGGAAAGATTGATTATTGAGAGTGATAGTAAGGTGGCAGTTGGCTGGGTTAAGGATGTGGTCTCTTGTCCTGTTGTTTATGTTCAAATTGTTAAAGACATTATTCAAAAGCTTAGTGTTTATGAAGGTTTTATTAGTTGGGTTAGTAGGACAGCCAATATAGAGGCGGATGTCCTAGCTAAGGCTGGTATTGGTTGAATTATGTTCTGTTAAGGGCTGTTTCTTTCTGGTTTTGTATCTCTTGAGGGAGATTAGTTTGTATTACTTTGTTATATTTGAGTTTTAATGAAATCCTAGGGCACTCTTTTCCTCCTTGTGCGGATTAAGGAGCTATTTTTAAGTTCCGTTAATCATGAAGGGGGTTTTATTGAGGCCTTCTATTCCTATAAAAAAAAAAGAGAGGGAAAGAAGGAGAAACTATTCATAAAAAAGGAAAAAAAGGAAATTGGAATATAAGAAAAGCAGTTGGGTAAAATTGGTTGCAGAATATTAGGATAGGATGAAGAGAAGGAACGGTTACACATAATAAAATCAGAAATCTTTAATCTACTATGCCAAAGCTCCTAGATACTAATGTCTAATACACAATTGTAGACTATATTCTGCATCTATATTTTTTTAAATGCAAAATCGTAATTACTAGAAACTACTATTGATACTGTAAATTGAACTGATTTAGTTCCTAAAGTCTTAAATAAAAATTCTTCTATTGACTTGGTTCTTCTCTTGTGCTACTAGAATTTAAAAAATTCAGAGAAAAATAGGGAACATAAATCTTGAACTACATTTTTTTACTATTATTTCCTCTGTTGTAGGGATGAAGTAAATTTCTTTTTTGGGTTTACATGCTCAAGCAATATTTTAAACCTATAGTATCATATATTAGAGATATGCCGAAACATAATCTTTTGCATAAAACAATTCCAGAATCTTCCAAGGGCCATACATGTAAATGTTTGGTGACTAAAAACAATGAGTAAATGCAAACAAGTGACTCAAGAAAATACCTACTTGAGATATAGTAATCACAAGTTGATTCCCAAATGTTTGCTTGAATCTTGATCACGTAGAAAAGTCACCAAAGCCTCCCAAGTGTTTAATGGTGATCCATTAACCATAAGCTAAAACCTTCTCAAAGTTACAGAAAATCTCGTGTAGCAAAATGACAAGTGTAAAGCAAAACAATCTCTCGGAAAGATTAGGTATCAGTAACAAGGTTCTTATGTATTCTCTTGGTTATTAGTCTATTCTTGGAGAAAAATTCTGCCTGGTGCCTAGGTTAGAGAGAGAACAAGAAGGCAAGAAGTTTTAAGAAAATTAAGATCGATATCAACTTATTGATGCTTAGGGACACATGTTGGGTGTGGGATGCAAAGGTTTATATGACCTTTAGGATATGACAACCCATATGAATTGGATTTCTAAAATTCATTCACATTGTACAACATGACTTAGATGCAAATACTTCTCATGCCCCATGATTTAACTGAAAATTTTATGTTATCTCTTAGTCTTTCACTTTTGTTTAATTAAGTCATACTTAATTGAATCTCAATTTCAATCCTACTTTATGACAAACACAAGTGCTCATTAAGCTACCAACATCTTGATAACAGAACATAAAGTATAATCCAAGCTTTAACAGAGATTGAGTAATTTATATCTAAGACCATAAGCAACAGCTAGCAATGCATCATAGGCCCAAAAATGTTAGTAAGTTGAAAAGAAATGGATTGAAACATGGAACAATAAAAAAAAATATGCAGAGAGTAGGAGAAACTGAGGAAGAACAAACTAGAGCTAAAAGGAGAAATTACAGTTCTTAATATTTAGATCTCTCAAAATTTCAACAATTCAATTCAGAATTTGGAGAAATTAAAATAACACGGGCTCTTATTGCCTCTGTCCAAAACCTTAAAATATTCCCCAAATTACCAAGTGTAATTGTAAAGTTCCCTCAGAGTAGAGAGTACAATGGACCTATGTAAATATCAAAATTATCAAATAAATTTCTTAATAATTCAAATTTTCTATCTAACGTCTTTTTGTCCCATTTAAGAACTATGCCAAATTTTAAAATGTTTGCACTTATTAGAATTAAAGCTTGATTCTCGGATTTTTTGATTTTGTATACTTGGCTAGGTTGGTTTGCTCCTATCACACCCACTCTATCTATATAATAATTTTTTTAATTGAGATTTCATGCCATACATTCCCAATTTAATCTTGCATTTTCATTCTTTCATTTGTTTGCATTTTCCTTATTAAGTTATTTCTTTAAACTGTTTAATAGAGTACTTCATATCAGGGAGAATTTATTTGGACATTCTGATGTTAGAAATACATATTTATTTCATCTCCGTTTTCATTTGGATTCCTGATTTTGCCTTTTATTTTTATCATTTGTTCTCTAATCATATTTGTTGAAATGTAGGAGAACCGATATGCAATAGTGGATGTCTGCTACCCTCAGTCAGTAAGTACGATTATAAGATTCTTTTCTTGCATTTTTTTGCATATAGGGCAAAGTTGGTAGCAATTGAAAAAATATTACGCTCCATAAATAAAATGAGAAAAAAGTGTCCACCTATAATTCTTCTAAATACTTAACTGTAAGCTTTATTTTTGTAGCCTGTTGGTTTTATTCGTGAGCAGAGTAACATCATTACTAGACAGGTGAACTACTAAACTCAATTTTTTGTTGGACATGAGTGTATATGTGATCAACTTTACTGTTATTTCATTTCATATTTAAATTTTGATAAAGTTTTAGAAACCTTTTGTAATCTCAAACTACTTTCTCTTTCCTGTTGTTTATGGTTCATGATTCCATTGTATTGTTTCCTTATTCTCTTTTGTGAGTTCTGCAATTGTCTATATAATTTTTTCTACCTTAAGTTCATTTCCATTTCATTCATGATGTGTCACAACAACTTCCTCCAGTTACCCTTTATTTTGAAGCAATGAAGATTGATTATGTGATGTTTTTTCCAATCCTCTATTTCTTTGGTAATATATGAAATCTTAATCGTATGATGTCATTACTTCTACCACATTGTTTTCTAAATTATGTAAATTGCATGAAGAAAAAGCTTTTTAAAATTAAAATCCCAAAATAGCATGAATGGTAAAGTTCAGAGGACTTATATGCGTTTGTAATAGTGACAAAGGTGCATCTATAGTTAGTACTAGATGAAGACTGATACCTGTGTCAATTTCTAAGGTAGTATAATCTAGTTCCATTTTTGGCAAGTTCTGAGTTGTGCAGTATTCTCTAGATTCCATTAGGTCGCTTCCTCCTTGTATGGACATGAAGTTCCTCTGTTTCAAGTTGAGTTTGAAATTGTCAAAACAGACCTTATTAGATTGATTATACCATTGGAGGATTTTTGGAATTAATATGAAGGATGATAATATTAATGGGTTCCGGCAGATTATTTAGGGCTTCCACTTGGGGCGAAAAGTAATTAGTCTGTATTTGGGATCCTGTTATTCAAAGGTTCCAAAAGAAGTTAGCAGGTTGGAAGGTGGAGACGTTATTGCTAGTGGGAAGGGTTGTTTTGATTAAGTCTGTTTTAAGCTCTCTTCCAATTTACTTCATGCCCTTATTCATAATTCCTTCTTGTGTTCTAAAGAAGCTAAATGCTATTATGGTGCGATTCCTTTGGGGGGTCGTCTGACAGGAAAGATGTCCATTGGGTAAAGTGGGGTTCTGTGTGCAGACCAAAGGATATGGGAGGCCTGGGAATAGCTAATTTGGTTATGATGAATAGAGCTCTTTTGGGGAAGTGGATGTGGAAGTCTGTTTCAGAGAAAGAATCACTGTGGACTGGGGTCTTATGCCTTGTCAATAATCTTGGTTTCAACTTCTTTGTTGTCGAAAAATTGATTTCCACGAGAGCTTAGTGGATATGGAAAGGTATAGTGAAGAGATGCTACACTTGTGATGATTTTGGTGCTTGTTTTAAGGGTAATACTCACATCAGGGTTGGCAATGGGGAATCTTTTTCGTTTTGGCATTGATGCGTGGTTCGATGGTGTGCCTTTGAAAGATCGATTTATAAGATTGTTTATCCTCTCGACCAACAAAGAAGGGAGAATTGCTGATTTTAGGTTAAGGAGCTCGTCGGGGTGGTTTTGGGATATTCAGATGAGGAGGAATTTGGCAGATTGGGAGTTCGAGCAGTTGATTCATTTGTATTCGGTGTTGGGCAATTTTCAATCTTTGGAGCAAACTGATGATAGTTATGTTTGGATTGGACAGGGCGATGGATGTTTCTCGGTGAAATCGTGCATGAGGCATATGTTTGATAGGTCTGAAGTTAACTCACTCTGGTCAAAATCTGTGGCTAGGGGTGGCCCCTCCTCGAGTGGAGTCATTTGTGTGGCAGGTGGCTTATAAAAAGGTGGCTGTTAAAGTCGAGTTAGTTAAGCGTGGGGTTAGGGGGATCGAGGATCAGACGTGTCCTTTGTGTGGAGGTTTTTCGGAATCTGTTACTCACTTGTTTGTTTCTTGCACTGTTTCTTGGGGTCTTTGGACGGGGTTTTTGAGTATGTGGAACATCTCTTTCGTAGTTCCAGAGTGCCTGGTTGCGTTACTCTCGGCTTGGTATGGGTTGGTCTCGTTTTCAACCATATGGACCTGTATTCCTAGAGCAATTTTGTGGTCGGTTTGGAAGCAAAGAAATGAAATTGTTTTCAATAAAGGGAAACTTGATCGTGTTCAACTCTTTTTCTTGGTGAGATACAGAGTGGCAACTTGGTTTTCGGCAAAGTTTCAAAATTATTTGAATCCTTTTGATAGTCTAGTGGGTGATCTTACGTTAGCGGATTCCTTTCAAGGGTCAAGGAAGATTAATTTGGTTCGTGAAGGATGGTGTCCTCCTCCGTCAGGCTTTCTTAAGGTAAATGTGGATGGGGCTATGGATAGTTATTGGCAGAGGGTGGAATAAGTGGGTTGCTTCGGGATGAGAAGGGTATCATGTTGGATTCGTTTTCAGAGAAAGTTGTCTCGGGCCCTCCAATTTTGGCTGAATTGCTGGCGATCAAGAGGGGTCTACAGCTATTTTTGGACTCGGAGTGGGCTTCTAGGGGAAGGCTAATTTTAAAATCTGATTGTCTAGTGGCTCTTGAATGGATTAAAAATCCAGCTTCTTGTACTCCTTTTTTTAAAGCTGTGGTGAATGATATTGCTAATATAGTGTTAAAGAGGGGTGTGGTCATTAGGCATATTTACATAGGTGCCAATCATAAGACAGATGAGTTTGCCAAGTTGGGTGTTGGATAGGATTGTCGAGGGGGTAATAAGTAGGTTTTGGTTGGTAGTTTGTATTTGGTTTTGTTGTTTGGTGGTTGGAGTATGATTGTAATTGGTCTATGTATTGATGTTGTATCTGTTTTTTTTAGCAATAAAATTATTGACTCTTTTCCTCTATCCAATGTCCGCTGATCTACCTTTGTAGATCGACGGTTATGATGGGGGTTTTTAACGAGGCCATCTTTCTATAAAAAAAATTATACCATAGGAATTTTACACTTGATATAGACATAGTAAGCCTTAGTTAGGAAACTCTAAACTAGGAAAGAGACTGATTCTAAGAATGTTTGACCTAAAGTAATCCCTTAAAGTTAGGGATTACAATCACTAACATATTTACAGAATCCTAGCTAATACAACCAGAATTCTTTATTTAGGAAACTGGAATCTGACACTCCCCTTAAGCTTGAGAAGTGGATATCATCCATTCTCAACTTGCTTACTAACTTCTAAAAATTCTTCCCAGAAAATCCTTTGGTATGTACATCTTCCAGTTGGCCATCAGTGGACACATAAGGAGTGCAAATTAGGCCATTGTCAAGTCTCTCTTTTATGAAATGTCTGTCAATTTCAATATGCTTTGTACAGTCATGTTGCACTAGATTGTGTGCAATATTGATAGCAGATTTATTATCATAATAAAACTTCATTTGACCTTCCTACTTGATTTTTAGATCTTCCAAAATAATTTTTAGCCATAATAATTCACAAATCCCAAGTGCCATTGCCCTAAATTCAGCTTCTGCAATGGATCTAGCCACACATTCTGTTTTTTGCTCCAAGTCACAACGTTGCCTCATAGGGAAGTGCAATAGCATGAGGTTGTTCTGCATCAATATAGGCATCAAGAGTTAGCTTCTACCCTTTCTTAAATAAGATTTATTTGCTTGGCGTGCCCTTTAAGTACTGTAGGATCTGGTACACAGCCCTAAGATGTGACTCTTCGAGGTTGTGCATGAATTGACTTTTCACACCAACTGCATATGCAATAGCTAGTGTAGTATGTGACAAGTATATGAGCTTTCCCACGAGTCTCTGATAGGAACCTTTATCGACAACTACATCTTCTAATGCATCTCCAAGTCTGTAATTAACTTCTATAGGTGTCTTAATTAGCTTGCATCCCAACTTGCCCGTTTCTGTCAACAAATCAACTATGTATTTTTGCTGAGATATGAAGATTCCTTCCCGAGAGTGTGCTACTTCAATACCGAGGAAATATTTTAACTTACCAAACTCGTTGACTTCAAATTCCTTCACTAGACATTTCTTTATATTCTTCATTCCTTCCAAATCATCACCTGTCATTATAATGTCATCTATATAGACTAATAAGGTTGTCACTCCCCCTAAATGTAAGTGCTTTAAAAATATAGTGTGATCACCTTGGCTCTGGTTATATCCCAACATGAGCATTGCCTTGGTAAACCTTCCAAACCAAGCTCTCGGGGATTGTTTCAGTCCGTATAAAGCCTTCTTTAACTTGCATACCAACTGTCCAACATTTAGATCGAACCCTGATGGGATATCCATGTAGACTTCCTCATCGAGCTCACCATGTAAAAAGGCATTTTTTAATGTCAAATTGTTGTAATTTCCAATCTTGATTAGTAGCTAGTGACAACAACACTCTCACAGTGTTCATCTTTGCAATAAGAGCAAAAATCTCAAGGTAAATCTATTCCATACATTTTTGTGTACTCTTTAGCAACCAATCTTGCTTTGGACCTCTCCAGAGAACCATCTGATTTATACTTTGCTTTGAACACCCATCGACATCCCACTGATTTCTTTTTTTTGATAAGATTAGAAGGCCTCATTAAAAACCTCTTTCTTGATTAATGGATCTTGAAAGCTCCTTAATCATTGGAAGGAGGAAAAGAGCGCCTTAGATTTTCATAAAAGAAAATAAGATTACAACCTCGATAAATCTCTTCGAAATAACCCTTACAACAGTATATAAATCCCACCCGAACAGGAATCAAATGCTAAACTGAAACAGCAAACAACATAAAGATTAGCCTATTCCAGCCTTTGCTAAAGCATCGGCATCCATATTAGCTGACCTAGCAACCCAATTTATAAACCCCCCCAAAGATCTAAGATTGTCAACAATATCACTAACAATGAAAGCATAAACACCTGGGCATGAATTGACATTGTTGATACAGTCTACTGCAACCCTGCTATCACTCTCAACAATCAGCCTATCTTTGACCCTCCCTTGAGCAGAAGCATATAATGAAATACCCCTCTGAATAGCTTTAAGTTCAATCATAGTCGGAGGTCCCGGACCAGCTGGCTCTTGAAAAGAACCTAGGACTGAACCTGAATGATCCCTCCAAATACCTCCTATACCCGATTTCTTCCAGTCACTACTAACGGCTGCGTCCACATTCAATTTAAAAAAACCAGAAGGGGGAGGTCCCCAAGGGAATGAGGAAGACTTCATAGAGCTGTAGGGCGAGTAGGAATCTGCTAATGAAGGATCCATAATCAAGGAATCCTTATGAATAGAAACGTCCTTGTGCTTAGCTAGAAACCAAGAAGCCAGCCTAACTCGTGATAAGAAAAGTAACTCTAACTGATCAAGCTTTCCCCCTTCAAAGACAATAAAATTTCTGGCCTTCCAAATGGTCCAAATGATAGCCCCAGGAATGAAAGTCCAAATAGAAGAATTTGATTCCCACTGATTTCTTCCCTTTTGGTAATTCCATTAAGTCCCATGTATTATTCATTTCAAGAGCTTTCATTTCAGCTTTAATGACATTTTTCCAATTCTCATCATTTAAAGCCTCAAATACGGTTTTGGGAATATAGATAGAGTTTAGGCTAGTAAAAAAGGTTTTATAGTTATGGGACAAATTTTTGTAAGACATGAATAAGTATAGGGGATTTTTTGTGCAGACTCTAATTCCTTTTCTAATTACAATCGGAAAGTCAAGTCTCTTTGATCAGATTTTTCAGTATTTTTAGTTATGTTGTCATTATTGGGAGTAGGTTTAGCAAGAGTAGGGTTAACAAGAGTAGGTTCAACAATTACCTCTGGTTGCATAGGAGAAGAGGATGATTAAGCCTGCATCGGTGCCTTCCTCCTTGAATAAACCAGTTGAGGACGAGTAGTGTCTTGAATCCCTTGCTGTGATTAGGGGTATTAGGTTCTGTTTTGGTTGTTTTTTGCGGAAAGGGTTGTTTCAGTGTTTTTGGGTTCTATTGGATGAGAAGGTGTTTGAGTGGGTTGAAAGGTTTTAAAACTGTCCCAAAGGTGAAGTTCATCTGAATTCTTCCCATTTCAAATTTGGAGAAATAAGGTTTGGCTTTAAAGAAGGTAACATTCATGGAAGTACACATTTTCTTGGTTATGGGAGAGTAACATTTGTAGGGCTTCTTAGTAGCGGAGGAACCTCGAAAGATACATTTTATGGATCTAGGGTCAAGTTTGGTTCTAAGTTGCTGGTGAACATGAACAATGATGAACAATTGAATACTTTTAATGGGAGATTAGAAGAAATGAATTTGAAATGGGAAATTGTTGAAGGACATCAAGAGGTTGTGTAACACTTTGCTAGGCTCTATTTATAAGATATGTGGCAGTTAAAACGACTTCTCCCCAAAAACTTTTAGGAACACTCATGGAAAATATTAGGGATCTAACAACCTCTAGAATGTGTATTTTTTTTTAGCAATCCCATTTTGTTGTGGTGTATCAACATAAGGGATTACATGAATTATGTCTTTTTCTTTAAGATATGAACCTAGTGTTTTTGTGTAGTATTCATTCCCCTTACCTATTTGAAGGACTTGAACATGGCTTTTAAACTGATTTTCTATCATAGTGTAAAAGTTTTGGACTATCTCACCAGTTTCAAATTTGTATAATGAATGTCCATGTTATCCTAGATTGATCATCGATGAAGGATATGAACCAACGTGATCCACCAAGGTTTTTAACTTTGGATGGGCCTTAAATGTCACTATGGATAATTGAAAAAGGTTGAGGTTGTGTGATTTGTTTTGGGGTAAACAATTCTTCTATGCTTGACAAGTTGGCAAATATCACACGAGAAAAAATTTAGGATTTTACTAATAAACAACTTGAAAAACATTTTCAAGATAATGAAAATTGGGACGTCCTGGCCTATAATGCCATAATAGAATATCATTGGAAAAAAATGTGAAGTACAAGGGAATTTAGAAACAGATTGAGAAACACTACTTGAGTGGACTTGTCTTGGAGGATGAGTGGATTGGATTTTGCTGCCGACATCATCTCCTCGTTTTTTTAGTTTGTTGGTTCAGAAAATTGCTTCCCTAATCTTGGAGAGGGAGATCATTATTAGACATATTCCGAGGAGCTGGAATTGTGAGGCTGATACTTTAGCTAAACAGGGGATTGGATGATGAATGAAGGTTGCCTTAGAGGTTTTGCTGTCGGGTTGGTGGTCTATTGAGGTTGTTGGGGCTGAGTCAGTTTTGGTGTTGTTTAAGGGAGTTCTGGTCGCATTGGGGTTTTGCTTTCTACGTTCTGTAATTTTTTAGGTTTTGTTATTTTGTCTTATGGCTGTATTTTATGTACTTTGTCTTTGATGAATAAAATCCTAAGGCACTCTTTTCCACCTTCCGCTGATTAAGGAGCTTTCCTAAAAGATCCATTAATCAAGAAGGGGGTTTTTAATGAGGCCTGAAATTCTTATAAAAAAAAAGTATGTAAAGTCTACCACAGAGCTTAGCACTGCCAATCACCTTTCTGAGTTCAGTGTTATCTTATCTCTTAATTAGATAAGACGTAGAGTACAAATAAGTTAAATAAAAATCTAGTTATTAAAGTACAATAAAACTCCGATTTATTCAGTTACAATCTACACTGCCTAATCCTAAAATGTTGCGTGTTAGTTTAACTTTGTCCAAAGGCATGATGTGAGATTAATCTTAGGATCTCTAATTGTACACAATAATGAGGTAACATCTGACACACTGGTTACTTAACCAACGGATGTAAATAACATGTGATTCTCATTGAGAGGTGGATACAAGTTTAGATAACTTTGTAGGTATGTCTGCATTCACTTGTACTGTTTTGAATCACCATTTGTTTATTTGTTTGATTGTACCACATGCAATTGTTTGGCTTCTATATCTTCTATGGGTAATGATTATTTTGGATTCTAATATGGTTTTTGGTATAAAATTTGTTAATGAATTTTGCTTCATTGCATTGCTTCGACCACATGGTTGCTATTCTTTTCTTAACATTATAATTTGCATACTGCTGACTGTTTTGTGTTTTTGCAGTTGCTGCGTACAAGACGCCCTTTCGTTGCATCCATCACTGATGCCATGGGTCAAGAGCTGTTTAGGGTAAGAAGAATATCTGCATTTTATTTTGAGCTACTGTATATGTTTTCTGGCCCGTAAATATTGAAGATATGATCATTTCAGCTTTAAGGGTTTGATTTACACATTCAGGTTCGTAGGCCTTTTTGGTGGATAACGAGCTCAATTTTTGTAGAAATTGATAGTAAGGTATGCAAAATTTTAATATTGATGTTCCTTTTGTATATATGAATCTAGCGCAGAAAGTCTCGTTTCAAGGATTTAAAATGTCATTCCTTCCTAGGAAATTGGCGTGGTTCACAGAAGGTGGCATTTGTGGAGGAGGGTGTATGATTTGTACCTGGGGTAATATCGAATAGCCATTTTCAATATTATATTCGATATTTGATAAATGCTATTAATATTAGTTTGTTTACCAGCATTAGATTGTTTAAGTTCCTTTTTTTGTTTATATAGTGAATCTTTTTTTTTTTGATAAATGCTATTAATATTAGTTTGTTTACCAGCATTAGATTGTTTAAGTTCATTTTTTTGTTTATATAGTGAATCTTAGCAAGCAGTATATGAAGTTTGTGGTATAATTTGGTATTAGTACTGAATATTTGGTGGTTGGATACACTTTCTTGTTGAAATTGTATTTGATTAATTAAAGAAGGATGTTCTTACATAAATACTACCAAGTATGACATCAAAAAAAAATTAGTACCTACTTTTAAATATGGTGGATGGGACTACTTGCTTGAAAGCAATGAATATTTTCAATCCTAAACTCCTAGTGTTGAATTATGGATCCCTATATATTTAAGTTCTAAGTGTCAATATGATTGATAAAAGCCGACTTATAACACATTGTAAAATGTAAAGGGTCACCTGCATTTTGAAAATTCTCTTTGAAGTTGAAATAGACTGAATTCTAATATATATTTCGTAGAAACGTTACACTGATATATATACAAGCAGTAGACTTAACTTAGGAAACTTCTAAACTAGGAAATTAAGTAATAATCCCTTAAAGTTAGGAATCAAGACACTAACAGATACTAAGATATTTACAATATCTCCTAGTTAATTTCACACAAACTTCCTAATTTAGGAAGTTGTTTTCTAACACTCCCCCTGAAGCTGGGAAGTGAAATCATCCATTCTCAGCTTGCTTGTTAGTTTCTAAAATACTTCCCAGGTAATCCCTTGATAAGTATATCTGCTAGTTGATCTCCAGTGGATACAAAAGGACTACAATTTAGGCCACTGTCAAGTTTCTTTATTATGAAATGTCTGTCCATTTCAATGTGCTTTGCTCTATCATGTTGAACCGGATTATGTGCAATGTTGATGGCAGATTTATTATCACAATACAACTTCATTGGACCTTCGCACTTGACCTTCAAATCTTGCAAAATGATTTTTAGCCATAAAAATTCACAAACTCCAAGAGTCATTGCTCTAAATTCATCTTCTGCACTGGATCTAGCCACAACATTTTGTTTTTTCTCCTCCAAGTCACATGATTTCCTCCCAGAAAGGTGCAGTAACCTGAGGTTGACCTTTTATCACCTATGAACCTTGCATAGTCTGCATTAGTATATGCTTCCAAAGTTAGTTTTCCCCCTTCTTAAATAAGATTCCTCTACTTGGTGTGCTCTTTAAGTACTGTAGGATTTGAGTCGCAACCCTTAGATGTGATTCTTTAGGGTTGTGCATGAATTGACTTACAACACCAACTGCATGTGTACCAAGAGAAGGTTCCTCACTTGTTTTTTTTTCGTGTTCGGTTGCGTGGGGTTTATGGATGAAGTTTTTAAACTTATGAAATCTTTCTACGTCCCTTTCTACGATTCCTAATGTTTTTTTATCATCTTGTGGAAGTCTAGTTCCAAAGTCTTCTATTTGGAACTTTATTCCGAGAGCCGTCTTGAGGTCTATATGGAAATGTCGGAACCAGGTGGTTTTCAAAAACGGAGGTATTGATCAGAAACAATTGTTTTTTATGTCGAGATATAGGGTGGTTATGTCGTTTTCGGCGAAATTCCCTAATTTTCCAGTTTTCATGGACTGTCTTGTTGGTGATCCGAAATTGGCTAATGAAAGCAATCATTCCTTGAAGAATAATCTGCCGAAGGTCTCATGGAATCCCCCTCCCTTGGGTTTCTTCAAATTAAATGTGGATGGGGTTGTGACGAGGGATTGGAATAGAAGTGGTGTTGGTGGTATTTTGAAAAATGATGAGAGCAAAATCATGGGTTCTTTTTCGAGGTCTTCGGGTTTTGGTCCTCATATTTTTGCTGAATTGAGGGTCATTCAAACTGGTTTAGCTTGGTTTGTGGAATCAGAATGGCACTGTAAGGGTCGGCTTATTATAGAGACGGATTCAGAAGTTGCAGTCAAATGGATTAAGTCTCCTGAAGCTTGTCCTAATGTGTTCTTACAACTGGTTTAGGAAATTGTCAGTGTTGTAATGGAATGTAGGGTTGCTGTAAGATCAGTTAAAAGGGTTGTAAATTGGGAGGCTGACGCTTTGGCTAAGTCGGGTATAGGGTAATTGTTTTGGTTTCTTTTGTTTGGGTAATTGTATAGGGTGGGTTTTGAGGAAGATGGTGGGTGGTGCTTTTGTAATAGTCTGTGTTGTAGAAAGTGTAATCTCTTTATGGAATAAAATTCTTAGGCACTCTTTTCCTCCTTTCGATGTCCATTGAGGTACCTATGTACAGCGACGGATATGAATGGGTTTTTTAATGAGGCCTATTTTCTTATAAAAAAAAACACCAACTGCATGGACAATATCTGGTATGGTATGTGACAAGTAGTTAAGTTTTCCCACAAGCCTCTGATAGAAGCTTCTGTTAACTGATGCATCCTCTGTTGTATCTCCAAGCATGTGATTAACTTCTATAGGGGTCTCTGTTGGCTTGCAACCTAGTTTTCCGGTCTCTATCAACAAATCTATGATATATTTTTGTTGTGATATGAAAATTCCTTGTCGAAAATGTGCCACTTCAATACTAAGGAAGTATTTTAGTCTGCTGAGCTCTTCGACTTCAAACTCCCTTACTAAACACTTCTTCAAATTATCCATTCCTTCCAAATCATCCCTTGTAACTATAATGTCATCTACATAGTTTCAGAAACAAAGTATTATCACCTTGACTTTGCCTGTATCCCAGCTTGAGCATTACTTTGGTAAACCTCCCAAACCAGGCTCTTGCGGATTGTTTTAGTCCATATAGTGCCTTATTTAGCCTGCACACTACCTGACTAGTATATGGACCGAATCCTGGTGGGATATCCATATATACTTCCTATCAAGATCCCAATGTAAGAAGGTGCTCTTGATGTCAAACTGTTGTAATTTCCACCCTCAATTGGTAGTACTGTCACCGTGTTCATATTTGCAACAGGAGCAAATGTCTCAAAATAGTCTATCCCATAAGTTTGAGAGTACCCCTTAGCCACTAATCTTGCTTTGTACCTCTCCAAAGAACCATCTGACTTGTACTTTATTGTAAACACCCATCTACATCTCGCTGCTTTCTTCCCTTCTGGTAGTTTTACCAAGTCCCATGTCTTGTTCTTCTCAAGTGCTTCCATCTCAACCTGCATGGCCTTCTTCCAATTCTCATCTTTTAATGCCTCGGATACATTTTTGGGATAAAAATTGAGTTTAGGCTAGTAAGGAAGGTTTTGTGGTTATGGGACAAGTTTCTGTGGGACATGAATAGGTACAAAGGATGTTTTGTGCAAGCTCTTTTTTCCTTTCTAATTGCAATAAGAAAGTCAAAATCCCTTTGATCAGAATTTTCATTGGTATTATTTTGAATAGAAATAGGTTCAATAATTACCTCGGGTTGTATAGGAGATGAGGATGATTGAACAGTGGCTGACGCTTTCCTCCTTGAATAAACCAGCAGAGGACGAGTTGTGTCCTGAATCCCTTGTGTTCTGGGTGTATTAGGTTTGGTCTCCTCAGATTTTAGGGAAGTAGGTTGGGCTGGATCAAACTATTGGGCTAATTGGTTAGCAGAAAACTGATGTGTAGTTGGTTGGTCATTAGGAACAGTGGCTGAAGCTGGAAAATCAAGAAGGAAAAATTCTGTCCTTATCTTCTCTGAATGAAATCTCCCCCTGAAGATAAGGACGGATAAAGTAGTTTTCTTCTTCTGCAAAAGTGACATCAGCAGAAACAAAGTATTTTCTTGTGGGAGGGTGATAGCACTTGTACCCTTTTTGAGTGAAAGAATAGCCAACAAACTCCCATTTAATGCCCTTAGATCAAGTTTTGCCCTATTATGAGAATTTATATGAACAAAGGCAACACAACCAAATATTTTGGGATTAAGTTCTATTTGAGGTGTTGAAATTAGGGGAAAATTTTGTTAGGATTTGTGGGAGGGTGATAGCACTTGTACCCTTAGTCACTTGGTGGGGTTGAGTGATTCCCTTCATTCCCTAAAACCTGAGTAGTCTCGGTGTTGTTGGTTTCAACGACTTCACCCATATTTTTCTCAAATTAACTCTTCACATTCGAGGAAAGAAATTGAGGACAATAAGGGGCTGTTAAAAGGAAATAAAATGGTCCCAGAAATGAGCTAAAAAAACTCTTATACCATGTTGAAATAGATTGAATTCTGATATATATTTCATAGAAACATTACACTGATATATGTACAAACAGTAGACTTAACTTAGGAAACTTCTAAACTAGAAAATTAGCTAATTCTAGGAAAACTAATTCCTTAGAGTTAGGTATCACAAACACTAACAGATACTAAGATATTTACAGTATCTCCTAGTTAAATTCACACAATCTTCCTAATTTAGGAACTGTTTTCTGATAGAAGTTATAATTCCCATGGGTGTACAAGTTACCTCTCAATCTTATTTGGGGAAAAATTACTTTAGAATCTCTTAGTGTAGCATTTTACTTTACTTTTGTAGTTACTTACAAGGCATTATAGCATGAAATTAGCATTGTAGTCATTACTTGTCAAGGATTTACTGGTAGTATCATTGAACCAGTCTCAAATATTGGGCAATTTTAGAATTCTGGTAGGATGGCTTATAGATTAGATATGGACTAGATATGGGGCTCTTCTCCTTTTGTTTACATGCACTAGTACCTTTTTGAGAGACAAAGCTGTCTCATATTTTTTAACAATGCCAAGATACAGTCACCTGTCAGCATACTGTTGTGGGATAAGTATAGAGAGAGAGAGAGGAGAATTCTTTGATAATTTAGGGAAGAACAAAAAAATAGACCAGAAAGATTAGGCAAGAACAGGGGATATTGGGGGTGAAACATCAGAATTTGGGGGAAAAGGAAGAAAATCAATAGAGGTTGAAAATCAATATAATCAAAATCTCAGTATCACAAATATTCAACATCTAAAAGCTAATTGAGAATAAAATACTATATGTATTTATAACCAAACCTAAAATCCTATCAAAATACGAAACTACTATAGTAACCTTGAAAATGCCCAATTGGTCTTGAGAGTGATTGTAAAAAAGCAGTGGATTGGATCTTGATGCCTTTTTCTGCCCCAACGTTTTTTAGTTCTTTGGTTGAGGAAATTGGGGCCTTTGTATCTGCTAGGGGTATTATTATTAATTGGATTCCTGGGAGTTGTAATTGGGAAGCAGACAAGCTAGCTAAGGAGGGGATTGGTTGAGGTGTTGAGTTTTATTTTATTTTTTTGATAAGAATTGTAGGCCTCGTTAAAAACCCCCTTCTTGATTATAGGAGCTTATAACGAAGCTCCTTAATCAGTGGAAGGAGGAAAAGAGTGCCTTAGAAATTTATTCAACACCTGAAATTACATAAGATACAACCAGAAAAACACCCTTCAAAAACAGAAAAACAGAAGACACCCAAAAACAACCATAACCAACACCACTGACTTAGGGTAAACCAATTTAGATACCTGATTGGTTTACCTCTTACAAAACTACCACCACCCTAACAGACTCAAAGCTTGTGCTTTGCCCGAGAAAACACAAAACATACAAACCAAAAATCTACAGACAATCAACCAATCCCCTGCTTAGCTAACTTATCAGCCTCCATTACAGCTCCTAGGAATCCATCTAAGAACAACATCCAAAGCATAATAAGAGCCCCAATTTCCTGTATCAGATCACGCAAGGAAGTAGGGGCAGGTCGTTGGTTCTTAATCCAATCCACTGCACTTTTTGAATCACTTTCGATAATAAGTCTTCCCTTCTTAAACCAACCCGATGAATAGAAAAAAACAATTCCCTCCTTAATAGCTTTTAGTAGGTGTTGAGTTTTATTGTTGTATTGTTCTGTATTTTATCTAGGGATGTTTATTATGTAAGCTGTATCTTATGTAATTATGGTTTATCAATAAGATGAGGCACTCTTTTCCTCCTTCCACTAGTTGCCTCTTTCACAAGAGCCAACTAAGAGGGAGGTTTTTAATGAGGCCTCCTATTCCTATAAAAAAAAATGCCCAATTGGTGCTATACATGCTTAACCCACTTAAATATATCGTGAGCTGTCTTTACTCCATCACTACATTAATTCTACAAATATGCTTCATTCAAGAGCTTATACTTGCTATTTTTGTTTGTTTGGAAAAGGTTTGGTGAAGTCATTTCTGTTTTACATAAATGAATTCTGCTTTTGTTTAGAACACCTATGCGTGGTATTATCATTATTTTAAGGGATAGATTAGAAAATGAGTATTTGTGACCGTGATCAAGATGATTCTGTGTGGTAAATTTATTATTTCAAATAGAGTTATAAGTCTCCTTTAAATAGACTAAATACATAGAGTTATAGTACAAATAAAATTACTCTAGATAGAATTCTATCCTATTAAGAGATAAAGAGTTATAGGATATCTAAACTGCTTAGTTAAGAGTTATAGGATATCTAAATTACTTAGTTAAGTTACAGGATATCTAAACTACTTAGTTATTTACAGTAAATCTAACTCTATTTACTGTCTACAATCTACAGATAGCTTTCCTACTTGATTGTTTTTTAATTTGACTGGTATCATCCTTTAACCCCCCCCCCTACAAGTCATAAATGGTATTACTGGAAAAGAACATAAGTTTGGTCTTTGATTGATAATATTGTCTTGATTGATGCTGTTGATGACTTCCTAATTTGGTCAGGGAGTGGAGATGGTTTGTTCTCAGTTAAGGCCTGTAGATCAGCTCTTATTCGTAGCTCTGGAGGAAATTTTCAGTGGAAGAAATGGGTTTGGTCTGGATTGGCTCCCCCAAAAGTTGAAACATTTTTATGGCAATTATCTCACCAAAAATTAGCTGTTAGAGTGGAATTGAAGAAAAGAGGTATTCCTTTGGAAGAGTTATTATGTCCTTTATGCCAAAAGGAAGAAGAAACAATTCACCATTTATTTATGTTTTGTCCTGTTGCTTGGGAGTTGTGGAATTTGTTCATCAATTTATGGGAGGTTAATATTGTTCTGCCCAAAGATCCCCCGTCTCTACTTAGTTCATGGTCTTATTTGAAGGCTTCTTCTTCTATTTGGAATTTCATCCCGGGTGTTGTTATGTGGTCGATTTGGAAGGCTAGGAACTTAGTGGTGTTTGAAAAATGGAATTTTGAGAGATTTACACTGTTTTTCATTTGCAGATTCAGGCTGGCCAAATGGTTTCTAGCTAAATTTCCTGAAGCTAACATCCAGGTAGATCTATTAATAGGAGATCCAAGGCTTGCAGATGGTTTAGCAGTCAATTTTCAGAAGAAGAAGAAGGATCTGTGCTGGTATTCACCTCCACCTGATTTTTATAAATTCAATGTGGATGGGGCTGTTAGAAGTGATGGTTTGCAGGGTGGAATTGGAGGTCTGTTGAGAGATTCGAATGGCTCTACCGTGATCTATTTCTCTAAGCCTGTCGGACTTGGTCCTCCTCTGTTTGCTGAGTTGAAAGCCATTAAAGAAGGAATTGATCTATTTCTACATTCGGATTGGGCGTTGAAGGGAAGACTTATTCTCAAAAGTGATTGTAAGACTGCAGTGGATTGGATTTTCAGGCCTACTGAGGCTCCTTCGTTCTTCAGTTCATTGGTTCGGGAACTTGGGGATGTAATTTCGGGTAGGGATATTATGGTTAGGCTGATTCCTAGGGCTTGTAATTGGGAGGCGGACAAGTTAGCTAAGGAGGGGATAGGTTGAATGTCCTTACTGTTAGCGGTTATGTTTGGTATTTTACTTCGGGTGATGTTGTAAGTTATAGTTGTATGTAATTCGGGTTTATTAATATATTGAGGTACTCTTTTCCTCCTTCCGCTAGTTGCCTCTTCTCAAGAGGCAACTATGAGGGAGGTTTTTAATGAGACCTCCTATTCCTATAAAAAAAAAACATAAGTTTGGTTTTCTTCTTGTCCTCGAGCAAAAAGGTGTCTGTTGTACTCATTTCTTCCCCTTCCATGTTTTTTCTGTCTTTAATCCATCCTAGTGAGTGAGGCTTTTCCCCTTCATTCTTTATATGTTCCTTTCTTATTTGTATTCTTTGCTTTCTCCCAATGGTTCCATAGTTTTGCTATGACTACCGAATTTTGTATTACAGTGTGGATGTGTGTATATACCCTTATATATATCTTTAGCTTCTTATAATCATGATAGAATGTGTTTCCCAGCACCCCTTCCCCTTTTATATACTTTCCTCACTTTCCTTGAATTTCTGGTTAAATTATTTTCCTATAAGAGATCAGATAAGGAACTTGAATCAATTGAACTTTTTATTTTCCTCTATCTATTAAAAATTAGGTCAAGAGATTTCTTTTTGGATTATCATTTTATACACTATTGGTCGAAAAAATAATTCCAAGAACAGTGTTAAGCTGATGCCAAGTGTCCCATTATTTATTTTTCAGATTTTTAAATATACTTAAAACTACACTTGTCATCATCTGAAGACCGCGTGTGGAGTATTTTTTTCCCTCTGATGTTGTATCACATAATAACTCTTTGTTTCTTATTTATCTATCAGAATTGTGGAACTATTATTACGTTGAGAATTGTATATGCATTCATGACAGCTTGTTTAGAGCTCTTGTCAAGGATAGTGAGCAATTACTTAGTTTCTTTTAAATTTTATTTTACGTTTAAATGTAGCATTAAAGCCAAGATTGTTTTTTTTTTTTTTGGTAGGAATAACAATTTGCTGTAGTTGAAAATCCTGGCTTATGGAATTGGACTTTTACTTTGAAGGACATTGATGGACAAGTTCTAGCTGAAATAGATCGTGATTGGAGGGGTTTTGGCTTTGAGTTTCTTCTTCATTTAAAAAAATATCTCTTAATTCTCACTTAATTCATGAGCTCTAGTTTTTTTTCACAGTTTCCATGTTAAGTTTTTGCTTATATTATTATTGTAAAATTTTGTTACTTGTTAGATTATAGCAGAGGTTTCGACTTTCATTAAACTCGAAATCCTCCTATTTTGGGATTTTCCTGCAAATCATTACTAGTTCATCCAGATGTAGACATTAAAGATTAATCCGCTGTTCCATTTCTAAAATTCCTGGCCTGATATGGGTTCTTTTAGTTGCTGGAGCTGGCTTAATTCATCATAATCCCTAAATTATAATGGCACACGGTTTGCAACTTTAGCATGCTTAATAAGAAAGACCCAACTATCTTCTACCCCAAGAGAGTTTCCTTAGTAATAAGATACTAGAATCTGTAAAAGTTCTTAATAGGAGTGTAGTATTTGAGATCGAAGAAGTTGGCAGGGTCCTGCGTTTGCTTTAGGAACTTCTTTTGTAAGATATTATTCATCTTGTGAGAAAGATGGTAGTGGATGTCCAAAGCGTTGAAGTGTATGATTTCATGTGTCAGTCGGCAAAAGATAGTAGCAGAAGGAATTCGAGGATCGAATATGTAGAAATCTGGTTTACATGTTTCAAAGGAGAAAACGTTAGGTTGGGAGTTGTGTTAATTCTCCTAATTAGATCGTATGCGGTTGATTCATACATTTTTGCATTTCCCATTGTACAATGTAGTTTCTAGAGAAATAGAATTCTGATTTCTATTTCATAAGTTTGATTACCAAAAAGAAGAAAGTCCTCATCCTTTTAAGGACTTTGTACAAGTAGTTTAACCTAATTCTAACTCTATTTAAAGTTTAAATTAGAGATAAACTAAGAAAAATATCCTAAACTAGCTAACAAACTATTTACAAAATAAAACAAATCTTATCTACAATCTACACTCCCCCTCAAGTTGGTAAGTACATACTATACAGTCTCAGCTTGGATGTAAGTTCGTCACAGTTGATTCTAGGAAGTGCCTTGGTAAGTACATCAGCCAGCTGCTCTCAAGTAGAGAGAAAATTAAGCTTAACTGTTCCATTTGTGACCTTCTCAAAGATAAAGTGGCGATCTATCTCCACATGCTTTGCTCGATCGTGCTGTACCGGATTCTTGGCAATGCAAATGGCAGATTGATTATCACAACTAAGTTCAAAATCCTCACTATGATTCATTTGAAGTTCTTTTAGCAATCGTTGAACCCAAATACCTTCACAAATTCTTTGTGCCAAAGCTTGAAATTCAGCTTTAGCACTGCTCCTTGCCACTACATTCTGTTTTTTGCTTCTCCAAGTTACCAAATTACCCGAGACTCGAGTGCAATACCCACCGGTGGACCTTCGTGATGTAAGCTCTCCTGCCCAGCTTGCATTGGTAAAGACTTCCACTTTTCTGCTCATTCTTAGTAAAAAACAACACATTTCCTAGTGTCATTTAAAGGTATCACAAGATCCTAGTTACTGCTGTAAGATGCTCCTCTCTAGGGTCATGCATAAACTGACTTACAATGCTAACTGAAAAAGCAATATCCGAGCTTGGAAGAGATAGGTAAATAAGTTTCCCTACCAACCGTTGATAATGTTCCTTGTCAACGGAAACACTTTCTCCATTAGTTTGAAACTTCAGATTTTGCTCCATAGGCGTCTCAGCAGGCTTACAACCTGTCATGCCAGTCTCCGAGAGTAAGTCCAAGATATACTTTCATTGATTAATCACAATTCCAGTGTTTGATCTAGCCACCTCCATATCGAGGAAGTATCGCAAATAACCAAGGTCCTTGGTTTCAAATTCGGTTTGTCAAAAAAGCCTTAAGTTTTTCAAATTTCCTAGGAATCATCACCCGTGACAATTATGTCATCAACATAAACAATCAAATAGCCTTTTTTTCTGAAGAAGTCTTGACAAACATAGTATGGTCAGATTGACATTAAAGGTAGCCAAATTTCAGTATAGCCTTAGTAAACCTATCTAACCAAGCTCTATGTGATTGTTTAAGGCCATATAAGGATTTCAAAGCTTACATACCTTGCCTGGACTAGAATTTGTGTTTAATCCAGGAGGTTGTTGCATATATACCTCCTCCAGGTTTCCATTAAGAAAGGCATTCTTAATTTCAAACTGATGGAGGGGCCTGTCAAGATTTGCTGCAAGTGATAACAAAATCCGCACTGTATTGAGCTTTGCTTTGGGAGCAAATGTCTCCTGAAAATCAATCCCATAAGATTGTGTGAAACCCCTTGCTACTAGTCTAGCTTTGAACCTCTCAATGCTCCCGTCTGCATTGTATTTCACCGTGAAAATCCATTTACAACTCACTGCCCTTTTTCCCGGAGGTAAATCAGTCAAGACCCAGATCTTGTTCTCTTCGAGTGCCCACATTTCCTCTTCAACAGTCTTTTTTCACCTTGGATCCTTTAAACCCTTTAGCAGTAAAGGCTTTGAATGAAGGCATCAATTTTCTGTAGGCAACATATCGCTGTATATGATGAGCAGTGCACTTTCGAACACCTTTTCTCTGAACAATAGGTCGATTAGATGTATCAATTACAGGAGCAGGGTCAACATTTAAAGAATCCGTACCTTTCTCATCATGTAAAGGAATTGGATTCGGGGCCGGCTCTTGAGCAGTCCTAACCGGTGTAGTAACATGTGGAATAGGCCTTTTCCTCCTTGTATAGACACTGAGTTCCCTTTGTTCAAGGGAAGTTGCTGAAGGAGGGTTTTTAGGTGTAGGAGAATTTGGTTCGAGTTGGAGTATGGGCTGGGTTGATTGTGATATAGAAGCAGGGCATCAAGAGGAAATTGTATTGTTTGAGGCTGAAATTCATCCCAACACTCCCCCTGGATTTCAAAAGTTGAGAAATAAGGCTGAAATTCGTGGAACGTAACATTCATAGAAATGTAGAATTTTCAAGTGATAGGAGAATAGCATTTATAACCCTTTTTAAGAGACGAGTACCCAAAAAAACACACTTGACAGCCTTAGGATCTAACTTACCCTGAAATTGTTTATGGATGTGAACAAAGATAGAAGATCCAAAAACTTTTACCGATAATGTGGAAGTCATATGTTTGAAAAAAGGAAACTGCTGGAGAAAGACATCTCTTGGTGTTTGGAAGCCTATAACACGACTGGGTAGGCGATTTATAAGATAGGTGGTAAGCAAAGCCTCCCCAAAAAGATTTTGGAACATTTGAAGAAAAAAGAAGAGAACGAGTCACCTCTAAAAGATGTTTGTTTTTTCACTCTGCGATTCCATTTTGTTGTGGAGTGTCGACACATGAACTAATATGGATAATGCCCTTTTCTGCAAAGAATGTACCCAAGGTATTTGTAAAATATTCAGTCCCATTATCACTCTTTAGAATGTGAATTTTAGAAGAAAATTGAGTGTGAACCATGGAATAAACGCCTTAAAGATACTTTTTGTTTCAAATTTTTGTTTCATTAAATATGTCCAAGTGGTTCGAGAATAGTCATCAATAAAAAAATGAACCACCTAGCCCCAGAAATATTCTTAACCAGAGATGGGCCCCAAATGTCAGTATGGATAAGAGAGAACGGTTGAGATGATTTATAGGAAGATGGAGGATAAGGATTACGTTTATGTTTTGCGAACTCACATATGTCACAATGAAATTTTAATTAAGAAATAAATTAGGAAACAATCGTTTTAGATAATGGAAACTAGGATGACCAAGGCGAAAGTGCCATAACAGGATGTCACTTGAGTTTACGCTAGACAGAAGAGAAGAAAAACAAACAAGATTGTTGGTGCAACTTGATAGGGCTTGCCTTTTAGGAGGAGATTGACCTTCAAGAATGTAAAGTCCACCACACAGATCAACACTGCCAATCACCTTCTCCAAGTCCAGTTCCAGTTCCTGAAAAACACAACTACATTTTGTACGACAATGAAGATCAAGACGCAACCGACTAACAGATAACAAATTGCACTGAAGATTCGGAACATAGAGAACATTTTGAAGCATAAGATCACTGTTAACAAACACGGATCCAACACCCTGAACAACAACTAAAGTTCCATTAGCAGTCTTCACATGTCTTTGAATGCTTAGTTGTGAAATCGTTAGAAACAGGCTGTGGTTTCCTGTCATATGATCAGTAGCACCAGAGTCGACTATCCATGAAAGTAGCGTAGAGTTTGAGTGAATCGAGAAGTTACCAAACTGTGTTGTAGATGCAGAATTGGTTTCAGCTGAAGAGAGTGTCTGCCGAATTAATTTTTTGCGATCCGCAAGCTGCTACAGATTGAAGTGGCCGAATTTTTTGCAGTGACCGAGTTATCTGCAGTGGCTGAATTTTTTGAAATGACTAAGGAAGAAGAAGACTCATCCAGGCCAGCATTACTTCCGAAGAAGTGACAGCCATCGTGAAGAGGATTTTTACGTACCAAGCTGATACCATGTAGTTTCTAGAGAAATAGAATTTTGATTTCTATTTCATAAGTTTGGTTACGGAAAAGAAGAAAGTCCTTATCCTTTTAAGGACCTTGTACAAGTAGTTTAACCTAATTCAAACTCTATATAAAATTTAAATTAGAGATAAACTAGGAAATATATCCTAAAATAACTAACAAACTATTTACAAAATAAAACAAATCTTATCTACAATCTACATACAAATAAAAACTGTACACTGTATTTGTTTCTGTAAATGTGAAATTGTTAGTGAAAACTGGTAGATGGTACTGGCAAATAGTTTCTAGGGATCAATTTTCTTGAAAGCAATGATCTATACTATGTGAGAATTTATGAAAAAAGAAGGAATTTTTCGCTTTTAATTATTTGGTTGAAGAAAGGAAAGACACTTTTTGAATAGGATGTAGAATTTATGTCAAAGCTGATATCCTCCTCTGTATAGGATCCAACTGGAGTGTTAAGGGTCGGCTGATCTTGGAATGTGATTGTAGGAATATTTGTGGAGTGGCAAAAGGACCCTTTCAGGTGCCCTAGTTCCTATGAGTTTATAGTTAAGGAGATTGTTGCTATGGTTAGTAGGGAAGAAATAATTGTTAGGGTGATTAGTAGGAACGCTAATAGGGAAGCGGACGAACTTGCAAAAAAAGGGATGGGGTAATTCTATGAATTCTCAGGCCGTCTTTTCTTGCTAGGGCAGGGATGTATTTGGGGTTTGTTGTGATCCTTGTAACTTCGGGATTTTATCCCTTTATCAATAAAATCTGAGGTACTCTTTTCCCCCTTCCGCTTTTTGTCAAATTCTTATGAATTTAGCAATTATGAAGGGGGGTTTTTAATGAGACCTCCAATTCTTATTAAAAAAAAAAATAGGATGTGTATTACATAAACAAGAGTTCTTTATGTATTAGGTTTCTTGTCTCCTAAGACTCTTATCAGCTAAGAAACTTTATCTATAAAGATGCTTATCTACTAAGTAATCTTGTAACACCCTGAACCCAATCCAAAATATCCGTAGGATCCAAGGAGCTACACTAGGTCACCGAGGTGACCACTAAATTTAAAACATTCTCATTTCAAATCCAACACATCAAATTTACAAATCATCCAAGCTGAATAAAATCAAAGCATAATACTATAAAAACGTTTGTACAAAATCAGTGCAACAATCTTTTTATGCAAGTCTGCATCTTCAAGACACTTACTACTTGGATGTATTTCAAACATATCAAAGTATTTTCAGTACCTGGTTATTGTGTTGCAATTTTGAGTGAGTCATCTCCCCTTGTAGATCATGAAGTTGAGTCTCTGAGTCTCAAAGAGTTTAAAGGTGTTTTATGAATTGGAGCCTCTCTTGCCGCATCCCATATTTCCTTGGATGTTTTGTAGAGAAGGAAATTTTCTCCAATTTCGTAGTCATTGAGTTTATTAGCCATGACATGACCATGTGATTTTCAATCTTCCATGTGCAATACTTTGGATCAGTTGTTTCTGGAATAGGAACCTTCGTGGTGAGAATCATCTTTGTCTCCTCCAGAAATATATATAAGAACCGATGGTGACCATTGAAGAAAATTGTGGCCATTGATTTTGGGACTAGTGATTGGTATTGATGAGTATTTGATGATATTGGTTGAGGAATGGCTTTTGAATTCAGAATTGACTTCCGAGGAGGTGTTGTGTGTCTTCATGTTGTATAAGGATTTAGAATCTAGTTCTGATACCATGTGAGAATTTGTGAAAAAGGAGTTTTACACTTCTTATTATTCGACTGAAGAAAGTAAAAACACAACCTTTTAATCGGATGTGGCTCATTATACTTTATTTGTTCCGGGGTTGGATTCATTTCAACATTATTGTCATAAACAGGTTTATGTTACCTAGCTGTGTGTTTTCTAGTTGAATTCAATTTTGCTACATGAATTAAAATTCTTAGTTTTCTGAAAATCGTATATAACCCCCCAAGTAATTTGCCTATACGCAGATATTTACAGATGCTGGTCAGTATGTTATCCGCTTTGGGAATGCTGATCCCATCTCGAAGACTGGTCCAGCTAGCATGGTAATTTCTGCATTAGAAATTGAAAGTTCTTTGTACATGGAGATTAAAAGTTTTTAAGTATTTTGTTCACAATATTGTTGATTTTGTTGCAGATCCAAGAGTTGGATGTAAGCCGTCCACTGACCCTCTCAGAGCGAGCGGTTGCTGTTGCTCTTGCTATATCATTGGATAATGATTACTTCTCTAGGCATGGTGGCTGGTAAGAATCCTTGTTTCTAATTGATATTAATTTAACTTTGAAATTTATTTAGAGGAGCAAGAAGGAAGAATTATTTTACATGATTTGATTGATATTTACTTCTACTATGCATTTTCAAATGAAAAAGTTACTTTAAGGTTTGGCTTGGTTATGTGGAAAGAAAATTGGAACTATGGCAAATTAAAAGAGTAGAAAAATAAAATGATGCAAAATACATTATTTCTTTCATGTGTGCTTAGTAGGAAAGGTGCAAAAATGAAAGGTAAAAATGTAATTTTCTTTCTATTCATTGCTTAGTTGGGTTAAAAAATGAGAGGAAAGAAAGTAAAGCTTTTGAAAAATACATAAATTTAAACTAAATTTGATTTTCTCACATCCCCCCCCCCAATTCCAATTTGTTGTTTTTTTACGTAGAATAAAAAATGATAACCCCTCATTTTCTTTCCGTTCACTTTTATTTCTTACAAGCATACTCAAAATTTATTTTCTTTCCACATTTCTCCCTCCTTTATCCTTCAATTTTCACTCAACCAAGCACACCATAAGGCCTTGTTTGGCATAGTGGAAAGAAAATTGAAATGATGGAAAATCAATGGGTAGAAAAATGGATTTTTTTTCTCTCTTTGCATTGATGTGCTTGGTAGTAAAGATGGAAAATTAAAAGAAAATGTAATTTTCTTTTCGTTCATTGCTTGGTAGAGTTGAGAGATGAGAGGAAAGAAAATAAAGCTTTTGAAAAATACATAATTTTGAAGTAACTTACATCTCTATCACATTTTCTTTCCAACTTGAAATGGTTTATTTGTACACATAGATTAAAAATGATCATCCCTCCCACTTTTCTTCCCTTCATAGTTCATCCCTATGTTGCTCTAGCTCATTTTTTCCCTACTCTATGAAGTACATGTTAGCTCTCCAAATGCATGTAAACATTTCGAAGTAATTGAATATACCTGAATTAGACACACTCAAATCCGAGTAACAATTGCATCCAATAATGAGCATCTTGTACGAGGTTAAATGCATTTATGCTCATATTTGTTTTGTTTCTTTGGTGCTTTTGAAAAATCTCAGCTTGGTTAAATGCACTTGTAGCTCAGATAAAGCAATAGAAAGATGAAGATTGAATAGTAATACAGCCTTTATTTTGCATCTTTAACAGGGGAATCCCTTTTATTGCAATGGGGGAGTAGTTTCTCTAATTGAGAAAGAGACATTTGGGAGCTGCAATGATCTGTATTGATACCATTATGCTACTTGCTGTCTTGGACTTTTCAAACATTGTTTTTACGTCTTTTCTTCTTTCGAAATGAAACACGAGTATTGTTTGTTAGGGGAAAATGTTTGGTGAACCGTCTTTAGACTTCCGAGGCATGAGCTGCTTAAAATTGTTTCACTGTTACAACATGCTGTTTCGATATAAAAGCAATCACAAAGATCTTTATTATGGTTTATTATGGTTTGATCAGGACATTATTTATTCTAAAACAATGTTAGTTCATAAACTTATCAAATGACCTTAGTGGTGAAAAAAATATTATTTTCTTAAAGATCATGAGTTTAAGTTGTTACGTCTAAGGAATGTGTTTTGCCAATAAATTAATAAGTTTTAAACATATATTATCTTATAATCACTCTATTTAACTTTTGAGATTGAAGACTTAAACAAGACTGGAATTCATGACAAAAAAGTAGGAATTGAAATCAAAATAAATATTAAATGGACTTAAGGAGAATCTTGAACTTCAAAGCCCAACCCAAAAGAGAAGAAAATTAGTCCCAGTACATTATAGAATAAATTAGTGCATAAACTTATTAAATTGACTTACCATGAGCCTATTATTCACTGATCCAGCAAAATAAGTTATCCTCGTTGAATTTGCTTCACATTCACCCAATTCAAATCATAGAATGGATTTTTTTAAATGTGTATATATTTAAGGGTAAACTATTAAAATAACTACTTAACTATGGGATATCAATATAACCATCATACTTTTAATTTTGATAATATGATCATATAACTATTTAAGTGGTTTTAGTGTAGCCATCTGCTATTACAAAACAAGCATTGTAACAGATATGGTCGTTATTGACTAATGGTGAGTCAAAGTTCCATATAAACTACGTTGTTTGTTTTGCAATGGCATGTGACTACCTTGAAAGTACGGTGATTATATCAATACTAACCCAGTAATCCATGATTAAGTGGTCATTTGATTATTTTACCCTATATTCAAATATAAAAGATAATATTTTAAAAAAAAAATTAAATATCTAATAGATTTTTATTTTTCTTGATAAATTTAGTGAGAAAGAGAAGTGGAAGGTGACAACGGAGTCCCCTATGAGAAATAAAAGCCAACAAAATTCAAAGATGAGCAAAAGCTTTTCGACATTTGGTTTGAGATATGAGAAATAAAAGCCACCAAACTTTACTTACTTTGGTGGTGACCCATTGAAGCAGTGGAGTTGTGGTTGGTATCAGGTAACTTCCCAATAATAAATCTGCTCAAACTAATGCATTTTCTCTTTCTTATGGAGAGTTTATGTGTTAATCATTTCCTATTAATTTACGTCAAAACTTCCACAATAATGCATGGGGAAAACTTTATTTTCCAATATAATGTTGTAATGCGATTATTTCTCCAAATGGGGCGATTTACACAGGAAACTTGGATCTATCGGCGTCTTTAGTAGAAAACATGGATCTATCGACGTCTTTAGCAAAATTTGCATGCAAATGGATCTCTAGGAGTCTTCAAAACAATTTGCATTCAAACATGGAGGTCTCGGCGTCTTCAAAATCCAACTTGGAGGGCTCGGCATCTTCAACACAGCTTCCATGCTCGTTGGATCTCTCGGCATCTTCATTGGTTTGGCAGCTATAGATGTAACACCCATAACCCGTATAATTATACATATACAGATTATAGATGTCACCCGAATTTCGAAAACCATTTTCATTTCAAAACTCGATTTAGAATTTTAATTCCTTAATTGGTAATTGATATTATAAAAATATCATATAATATAATTTATATTACGTTATAAACAAAATTTAATTCAAAATATTTTTTTATGACCCGTGATCATTGAACAATGTACAGTGGATGAACAGTGGGGATCGGTTCCCTGTAGGGGGAATCGATACCCCAAAATCATTCTAAAAATTTTGCTTAAAACGTGGTTATTGTTCATGCTACAGTAATTACTACGGTAACTTTCGAAAATTACATATAAAACTCATAAAAATTAACATTTCATCACTATTAAATTTTTTTCCAAATTAATTCAACAAAACAAATTAAACATTATCAAATTACATGTCACTATCTAAATCAAATTTCATCATAGGATGTCTTACTGATGTTGAAATATACCTCTCGATGTTTGATGTCGTTTTGAACTCTTTATTCTTATTCTTTGCTTTTTACCTACGCGTGAAAATCATCATACGCTAAGTATAAACTTAGTGAGGCAATTAAAACAATAAACAATGCAATACAATTCATGCATGAATTTCATTGTTAAAAACAAATGCCATAAATCGTGTTACCAACATATCCAATATTTTACCATGATCAAAATTGTATAAAATTTCTTACCATTTATCCCATAAGCTCATAAGCTTATTTTACCAATATATTTGTCATTATTCTATAAGCTTATTTGCATATTTACCATTTATTTACCAATACCATAAATCATAGACAATAGCCCAATATACAATCCTGAGGACCCTGGGTACACGAGTCAAATATAAGCATCGTAGTGCTAATCTGTATGACACATAAGGTCGTGTCCACCATCTGTACTAGGTATCCTTAAGTACAGTCCCGTATGGCACATAAGGTCGTACCCACTATATACACTAGGTATCCTTTAGTGTATCTCGTATGCAGCCTGCTGTTGGACTCTATGGCATGCCAACTATACCCTGTCCCTCAATGACTTACTTGGACGTACAGTCTATTTTATTTGATCCATCAATGGCAAAGTATATTATCAATATTTAACTCTTAATAATTCCTTTTAACATTGGAACCAACTTTTCCAATTTACACAAAATGGTCCTTTACCATTTTATTACTTAGATTTTTAATACCAATAATTCCATCATTGAAATTATTACCATTCAAATGCTTTTACAAAAGCATAATTGCATTTAAGTACCCCAACTATACAAATGTTGTACTTAAATCACAAACCTTTTCAAACTTCCAAAATAGTCATTTTTCACATCTTACACTCATTTCAATTCCCAAACAATAATTTCCAGCATAATACATCAATTATACAACACTTACACAACAACCCATCAATTTTCCATATTCAGACTACTCGTACTACCTTTAAAGAATCAGTATTATGTCCTGATATACACACTGTAATTTAATTCTGTTTCTTCCGTTGAAAACTAGACTTGAATACGAATCTATCCATATCAATTACTCCTTCTAATTCATTATGTACAATTTATGGTAAATTTTCAAAGTTGACCAACAGAATCTGTTGTCCGAGTTTTCTGACCTCTCCTTGGTTAAAAATTCATATCTTTTTGTATACACCTTGAAATTGATCCCCGTTTGTTTTAAACAAAACTATATCAATATATGAACACACTATATAAAAATAACCTCCAAATTTTTTTTTATAAAAATTCTGGTGAATTTTCAAACCCACTATCAATCTCAAAATCTAAACTATTTTCTTAAACCTCATCCTTAAGTTCTTCATCAATTCTTACAACCAATTCGTTAAAATCACTTAACTCTTCATAACCCATAAAACACAAGAACCCCTTTCATCAACTCAAGGTGAACTTGAACAACCAACAAGATTATCATGAAATATTGGTACCAAATGATAGTGTTTTTCCCATATAACAATTTTCTATTTTCAGCATACTCAAAATCCTAAGGAAATTGCTTGAAAATGAAATTGTAGATGCTCGTTTTTATCCGAGTCTAGGTCGGAGCAAGCCCGAAGCAAACCAATTACAGGCCCCATTCAAGCCCAATGGACAGCAGATATATGCACAAGAAGAGAGCAGTTTGAGGGTCGGTTTTTAGCAGTTTTGGTTTTTAGGAAATAATCACCCATCATCAGTAAAAGGAGATTAACCACTGGAAATGTGGAGGATGAGGGATCAACCATCAGAAATCATACAGAGAATGGGGAATTAACTACTGTAAAAGGGAAGAACCAAAAAAAAAAAGAAAACAGGAGCACAGAGCAAAAACATAGCAGAAACCAGTAGCCATTCCCAACCATTAACACACATCGAAATAAGAGAGAGAGAGATTCCAATTGGAAAATACCCATTCAAATATGTTCATTTAGCCAAAAATCCAAAAAAAAACAGGGCCATCAATAACAAATAGAAGCTTTTCAATGAGATAACGTAACCCTTACTTGCCGGAGTTGAAGAGGAGAACCACCACGTCGCTTGTATCCCCATTCCAGTAATCGAGGAGATCACGTGCAAGAAAATTCCCAAGGAGTCTCACCGTTGTATTCAAAAAAGTCGAAGAAGCAATAGAAAGTAAAGATCTATTTTTTGGTATTTTCTTTCTTTCTTTTCCATTTCCAGTATGTTATGGGTGTTCTTATTTCTAAACAAATAAAAGATGTAAGAAAAGAATGAGTTTAATCTCGTTACCGTTTCTTTTGTTGATCCTGTCGTTGTCGGAGTGTAGGTCGCCGTTCATTAGGGATTTCCTTACTAAAAAAATATATTAAAAAAATTAATTTTTTCTCCCATATCTGAAACAGACGAAGAACTAGAGGAAGGAGAAGACGAAGAACTAGAGGAAGGAGAGGGTTTTTAAATAAAAAAACAATTGTTTTTTAAAGAGTAGCTTAGCATAAATCTATAGGAGTAATACGAAGCGGAAAGAAAATGGGGATCTCCTTTTTAAAGGAATCATGCTTCTCTGTATTAAATTTCAAGAAAATTAGGTGTTTAAGATTGGGTTACCTGGCTCGGGTATGTTCTGACGCCGAAGAGAGCCTTCGATCTTCGTTCTTCGTGTGTTGGGACTTTATCACAGAACCCAAAAGAGAGCCTTGGTCGTTGGTTGATGTGGTCTCCATTTCCCCTTCAAAGAAGATGAAAAATGAAAGCATGGTGTTTTGGAGATGATACGGCTGAGTTGCTTAGTTTAATATTAAAGAATATTATATATTAAAACTTTAGGGTTAATTAATGTTTGGCCATTGAAATTTTATGGTATTTTGCTTTCGTGCTCTTGTTCTTTAGTCTCATATTTACACTTTAGTCACCTTTAAGACTGCTTTTGAATTCTGCCATTTTATAATTGTCCTGATTTCGTTGTTTTCCCAATTGTAATTTTAGTT